TTACACGATGACCTATTGAAGCTGTAGCAAGATTGCAGCATGATGAGCAGCCCAGTGATTTGAACAGCAATTGCTGTTGTGAGCTAAACATATAATCTGAGGGATATTCCCTCTGTTCTCTTGCTGGCCAAAAAGACCCCAAGCATAATTTACATGGATTGTCAGTATGAGGGATTTTTAAAGAATTTACAACCTGATTGCCAAATGATAAGGTGCCAAAATCTTTTTCTACTCTGAATTTTGTCTTTTGGCAGAAGACAAGGAGATAATACTTAATTGCAACCATTTCATTTTTCTCACACTTCACACTCAGGGGAGCTCAGCAGAGTGGGGATAACTATCAAGAGTTTCTGTCTGTTCCACTGACTTGTGGGAATTTAAAAATGCATTGTCTTGTAACATGAGCATAAAAATCTTCTCCAACAGAAATAACTGTATCCTGAGGGACAATCGGTAAATGAAGGTTAAGCAGCAAGAAAGTCTTGAAAATACCAGTAGTAATGAATATTTTTTTCTTTTCTTGAATTAACCAAATGGGCTATATTCAATAGATGTTGCCCATCTATTGAATTAACCAGTTTAAATTTCTTTTCTGTCGAAAGAAAGCAGTTTGAGAAGGCTGTGGTTATTTCAGGTTACTACTGACAGAAGTTTAATGTTCTCCTACTTAATCCAAATGGGAAGATTTGTGCACTTTGAGACCATCAGATCAATTATGATCCGACAACCAAAGCATAATAAATTTCTATTTTGCACAGTTTTAAAAAGCACCATAAAAACACTGTCTGCTTAGATTCTCTGAGGTCACTTCATTCTAGAAGAGGAAAGCAACAGTTTTGCCTTGAAAACTTAGCAATAATGGGGAAATTTCAACAGTAATTTGGGCCTTTAAAGCTCTTATTTCATTAAGGATTGTTAGAATTTAGCATCTGAGTAATAAGGCTTTCAACCCCCTGTTTTTTAAGAACAGTATCTGATTTAACACATCTAAAAATTCTTCTAACATCTGAATACCTCTGTTTTATCTTATACTCATAAAACTTTGTATGATAAGTAACCAACAGCCAATACAACTGTGATTGAGTTCTGTACTTTCCAATCACATTAAAAATAAGAAATGGGGACTTATGCAATGGACTTAATTTCTCAAAGAAAACTCATTGTCTTTAAAATCAAGGCAAAAAAATTTAAAGGAAACAAACTAAATTTGCATGTGTTTGTTTTTAAAAAAATCCGAAAACCTCTTGGATTCCTGTGAAATCAAACCAACATATTGGCATTCTCAACCACAAGAGGGCATCCATGCTTGCAACCTGATCCTCGAAGGTAATACATAAACACATATATCTACCTACCTACCTATCCATCTATCTATAGACACAGATGTGAATATAGATATAGATCTATTTCTTTCTGTTAGATCCCAGCTGTGGTACAGAGCACTTTTGCTCTGGGAGGTTTCCTTTATCAGAGCCCCATGCTATTTCCCAGTGTTGATAGGGGATGGCACATGAAGTCTAATTTGGCTGTCCACAAGGCTTTCATGGAATCCAACTTTCTCACCTCTGTGAAAGTTACGTTAAACCTCCCATGGTTTTCCTTGAGGCCTGATCTAATTTATCTCGAATTCAGAGGGGAACAAACTGATCTTAGAGAAGAGGAACACACAGCTTCCTGAGGATAAGTGTGTAAGGTCAAGCCCAGATTTTCTGAAGTAATTTTTTAACCCAGAGAGAGGATTTGGGATCGCTACAACCGGCTCAGCATCAATCTGAAGTCCTGACTGTCAGAGGTCTTTCTTTCCCCCTAATTTGTTCCACAGGCACTTCACTGTTGTGATGAAGGGAGGGTGCTGTTTGGTTTGGTTTTGAACTGGAATACATATTCCTCTTTGATGCACATAGAACTCTCACTAGAGCCTGAAACAACCATAAAAGGAACTGGCCTAGTGGTAAACTATATGCTTAGCTGAAAAACATCTCACAAACACTGGAGTGTATATGGTAATACTGGAAGTAAACCTCATCTTCCACAAAAAATAATGCATAACTTCAGCACCAGAACACAGAGGTTAGCACCAAAAGGTATCAATTGCTACCCTTCATCCTAGATGTTTAAATGAAGAAAAAAAAAACCACAAGCAGATATTATAAACAGCTCCACTCAATAATTAATGATATCAATTACTTCACTTTTACTCTTATGCCTCTCACAGGATTTTGACCAAAAATTTTTTAGCCTTACTTATTTTAGTTTGTGTATACTTTCATAATTTTATATTTAGAACAGAAGTCTGAGCTAATTTCTCTGTCTTTAAAGGCACATCGCTCTGCTCGGAAGGAATTAGTACAAATCTTCAAGGTTATCAGCATAGCAACTGCAGTTAATTTGCCTCAGCATTGCCTTGAAGTCATCAAATTCCTCAGCATGTACCAGAGCAGATATACTGCCAAAGACATCTGAAGTCTTCTGCACATTTCAGTATTTTTGTTCTAGCAGGCTTGGTGTCAGGTAATCAATCAGGCAGCACTGACTGGCAATCAAAGCAGAGCTTTACTGGCATTGTTATTACCTGGCCCAAGAGAAAAAAGACAATGGAAATTGGGGCGATTCAAATGGGTAATACAGAAAGGCCTTCAGTAAACGACTTGTTAAATAAAGTGGAAGGGCAAATTTTGTGTGGTAATCAAATATCTGATGAGCTGTAATTCTCTCTGTTCAATGAAAAATATTCAGCTAATGCTTGAGTGCTTGTGGCTGGTTTTATCAGGAGCTGCTTGTATGAAATAGCTTATACCCAGATCATTTTTTGTTGCTGTTAATTACAGTGTGATTACAATAGTTAATCCCTAGCACCATTATCAGATGTTGTGAAAAAACCTGTTTGTTAAAAACAAAGTTTTCTATATCCACAGAAAACAAAATATTCCACAAAATCACGGTATTTGTAGCAACTTAAAAAGTAACAGATACGATAACATATATACCCGTTATAGTAATTTCAGCTGAATTACAGAATTATAAATTAATTTACAATGCCTAGTCCTGTTTGGAAAGTGTATCATACAACATACAAGTTGCAAGTTCCAAAGTGCATAGTCATTTATTGTAAGACCTACTGTTGTAGGCTCCATGGCTTAACCTGAACTTTTTGCTTATGCTCTGCTTCCTATCTTGTATTTAAAAATAAAATAAAAATACTGAAAATGGCTAGATGCACTGTTTTAACTGTGCTGTCCTTACCTCTAGAGAAAATTTCTTATGCAGAACCAAAAATGTGTTTGTCACAAACTGGGCTGGCTGAGGGCTAGTAGCTTTGTCTCACTAAATTCTTTCAATGTGTATATAGATGATGCAAAAAGGTTATATTTCACTCCCAAAACAGGACTGGATTTTACTCTGCCAAAGTGTTCAACTGATTGAGCACTGTCCAAGTCCAAGCCCCTTTGAAAACAAAAGGAAAGCCATTTATACTGTAACTGTCAGGATGAAAGTAGAATATTACAAGTGTTGTTCTTTCAAAACATGGACACGTTTTAAGACAATATACTTGTCTAGTTATTGTCCTGTCAGATACAGAAGTGTCACTAACCAGAAATTTCTGAAGAGCTGTAGATCAGTTGCTGATGTTCTCAGATCAGAATATGGACAGATGGAGAGAGGCTGCTACATTTCATATGCTGTAGAGCCCATTCCACCCCCCGCCCCCAGCCATCTTGCTGGAGAAAAAGAATAATGTGAAGAACTCAAATTCTGATCTTCCTTTTTATATCACCAAGATGACAATATTCTGGTGACAGACTGTCTCAAACACCCTCAAAAGGACTGAATTAGTGACCTAAAGACACATACGTATGTAGCTCTAGTGAAATTATCCTCTGTTGTTCTGCTTGCTCTGCTCAGTATTGCTTTTGAAAGTTCATAAATTTCAGAGGTCTAAATGTAGCAGTGCAAGCAGACTAAACACATATATTTAAAGTGGAGTACATTCAGCCCTGTAATATAAAGCCAAAACTTGAGGCTATTTAAATGACATAGTAGTTGTGGCAGACATTCAATTTCCTCCTTTTTATAATCTGGTTTTCAAGAAAACTACCTGTATAATATTCTAGCTTAAAGTAGGTCCTCTTTATAAATGTTCTAGTAAGCACCCATAAGGCATTCACCTTTTGGCAGGAAAGGTATGAATAAATAGATTTTGGTTTTATTAATTCATACCGATATTTTCAGGAAACAGCACAATATATTTTAAAGGATCCTGCCAATTGCTTTAAAAATTAGGAATTTTGGTAACAAATCTGTATGAAGTTTTAAAGTTGCCTGATGTCTTTCATCTGAAAATCCTCTTATCTACTTTTAGGTCTGATCTCTCCTTGAAAGTTTCACCTGGCTGAGTTTCAGTCAGGGGAACAGCATGGATACCAGCAAAATGGTAGTGTAAAAGACAGTATGGATGTCATGTATTGCTGTACGTTGCTTTGTAGCAATGTTTTTCTTAGCCTTCCTATACAAGAGTAAATATACTGCTCCAAAGCACCATTATACCATTATGACTGTGTTCAGGAAGGTAGAGTTAGGCTGTGCTATTATACCAGTATATTTAAATGTGATGTAGCTTTCTATCTAGATAAGACTTCAGGCATGTGAGTTAACAGCCACTGCATCTTGGCCAGTGCGATTCCTCAATCTCTCCAATTTTCCTGTCTGCACACAGGCATCGTTGATAGCAGCAGCCGTGTGCTAAACTCTTGAAACGCCATAAATGAATTGATGTTGTGCATGAGGTAGGTAATATCCTGCAGTTTTTCTTGCACATGTTTTCCTCTGCTCAGAGTCCCATTGACATTGCAGGTGAAAGCACAGGTGTAAATGGGAGGAACCATTGGGAGTGTGAGGACAATTTGTTGCTTTGCATGTCACGCTCCATTTTAAAGCACAGTATTAAACAGTGACCCTTCTCTTTCTGGAGCTATTATTTTTAAAAGGAAGCAATATTCTGTCTTTTAATGTGCTTTTAATAGAACCTAATCTTCTGGAAGCTACACTCGCTAAGGTGAAAAGTAGTTTGCTCTCCTTTAACAAAATGTTAATCTAAAAGGGTTAATGTGAGTCTTAAATCCAAAAGTGTTAAAACCAAATTGTACTATACTTTGAAAGCTAATTATACAGAAGCATACAAAAAGAAAACAGAGTATTATTACAGTATCTCTCTATATATAATATGTGCAAAATTCAATATACAAGCTTCTTGTTACTCATCCATGTTTTTTTTTAAAATAATGTAAACCTTAACTTATTTAAACCAGTATAAGTAGTTTGATGTTACTCCTGGGAAACAAAGATTGTCGGTACAAGAACCTCCATAGCTCGGAGGACAGGCCGAACACGGGACTCCTACTTTATATGGTGCTTCTCCAATCCAATTCCCCCTGAAATAAAAAAAAGTAAAAAGAACACTTAGTAATTTCAGAGGGGAAGAAAAAAACTTCATTAACCATACTTGTTTTGAGTGATTAAAGTTAATGTCTGCAGTGATATCCTATAAATGCCGTTACTGAAAACATACATTAATATATTTCTGGAGGTTATTGACAAACATTGATCTACTGAGTCCCAAAAACCAGCAGGAGAATGACTATGTCACCCCAGGTCAGTGGTCCATTCTATATCCCTTATTCTCTGTGCTGAAGTCTCAGTCTTCCCGCAGTTGCTACAGGCAAGTGATTTTTTGACTCCCTGAGCCTGGGACAGAGTATATTTTACTGGAGGACTATATTTATGAGAAATTAGCAACATAAGCATTGGTGCAAGGTTTTCCTTGAGCATTTTTATGTCTGGCAGTTATCTTAAAAGCTTGGTTTTGGAAGGTGGAAAAAGAAACTGAGAAAAATTTTACTTTCAGGTTGCACTATCCTAGGTCCTCATTGTGAAGCTCTGAGGCTGAATTCGCGGTTAGAGAAATGGGAAGGTGAAAACTGTTTGCACCAGTAATGTATTAAAAAGAATTGTGTCTGGGCATATGTAGCTGTCTCACAGATGTTAATGGCAGGAGAAGGAAGGCTCCCATCTGGTGAACAGAGCATGGGGGGAAAGGAGTACAAGTCTGAAGAGTGATCACGTGAAAAGAGGTAACTCTGAAAGATCTAGGAACATCTGAAAAACGCATCCAGACTTCTAGGTGCTTCTATAAACCTCAGGCTTTTAGAGATTCATCTAACACTCGTGATGTAGGCAGAAAGAAAGTTAAAATTAGATTTTTATTTAAATGTTATGTCTCACTGAGGAGAGAACTTTCCTCTAGTTTGCATGTGACGCGGTATAGCAGTGAGTAATGCAATTATTTATGAAACATTTTCTCATCCCGAACCTCCCAGCCAATAACACTGGATCAAAAGCCCTGGTCTGGGTTGTGCCTTGGAAGAAAGTAGGAATCTCTCAAATAATTTGCTCATTCCTACTTCTCTTCCAAATGGGTACAGCAGACTGAGTGCTCAGGAAATACATTTAGTTTGATAACAGATATGGAAATCCAGAAAGAGTTTGCTGAAAGCTGATTTCTGCTTCATTTTCTATGCAACGCATGGCTGATATGGGTGAGTGCATTAGATAACCAGGGGCAGGGCCTTTCTAAACTTTGTAATTACCCTCCTTAACCTTTTTTTTCCCCCTGATTTCAGAAGCATAGATATTTTTCAGCATTAGAGCATAGCATCAGTGAAAATGACTTGAGTTCTAAATCCTAAATCTTTGCCAAATTCCAATCTTAATAACTTGGGTCAGCGCTGTAATATTCACCCCCTTCTTTAGAGGAGTTTCCGATTGTGTTGGTTACTCAGAAGGACACAGCCTTTGACTGGCAAAGACTTCTGCGTGTGTGGCCAAGGACTCTAAGACCAATGTCCTTAACTCGACTTAATTAATTCTAGGAATATAAACTTAAGCCAGGCAAGACTGCTCAGAAGTAGCCTGTGAAAATCCCGATACCTCTACCTATGAATCAAAGGTCTGCTCAAAATCTCTTCCAGAGAAGAAGCTTGTAACTCCAGGCTTTCGTCTGCTGTTTGAGAAACAGTGGGATTTTTGGACTGAGAAAATATAAAATATCATTAATTCACTGTTAACAAACAATGCATCAGTTTTCAATAATGCCTAATGTATAAAACCATTATTTTCCTATGTATGAATATGACAGATGCATTCTAGGAAGTTTGTAATTTTTAATATTTTTTTCAAAGGGGGATATATAAAACATAACATTTGGGTTTCTCTTATAAACTTTGATTTCACCTTGTCCATGCTGTGGAGCTAAATGGCAGATACAGTTTCTGCTGCCTGATCTTTGCTCCCTCACATTCATTTCTTACCACCCTTTCCTAGCAGATGTAAAGACAAAAGGACAGAGAAATCTTGATTTCCAGAAGTGTTTTTTTCCTAAGTCAGTTTTCTTACTAAATTCTATCTTTTTTAAAGTTGCAAAATCTTTAAAAATTCTTTTATTCATGCAACAGCTAGAATAATGACATATTCTTGCATATTCTTTACCACAAATGGACCTGTGCCACTGAGAGTTTATGGAAAACATGCTCAATTAATTATACTTAGATTCCTATACGGAACTATGGCTTTGCCTAATATGCAGTCAGAGAAACCAGCCATTTACACTGTTCATGCTGCTTTTGAAGCACTGGTCCAAACCAGACCTCAAACCAAAGCTTTTCCAGAGCCACACTTCATTGATTCATTCTGCACCCAGATGTAAGCTTGAGATGATGTCTAGGAAATGCTGGGAGAAAATTCATTTCTTCATTTCTACCTAACACAGATCTCTGCAGAGCTACATGATGTAGGGCCACCTATGAATGTCTATGACAGATACTTTGAGGGACCCTAATATGGAAGTCAAGCTGAGATTTGTAGACACCAAGCTTAGGTAGACGGACTTTGTAGGAAACCCATGCTGTGGATGCCCTTATGCACCATGGACATAAGCAAAGGTATCTTGTGGGCAACAACATGTGTTCACAGTAAATGAAGAGCTTGATCTACAGTGGGACTGCTTACCTGAGGAAGTCTAGCTCACCACAAGTATATACAACAGAGTGAAGAAACAGGAATTGAAAGTAAAGTGGAGTCAGCACAAAGGAGGAAGACAAAAAGAATTATAATAACAAGAACAGAAAACAAGTTTTTGGTTTTGTTCCATACACATCAAGTTATTTTTTTCTTCTTTGTATACCAAAAAGTCATGCGTTTTCTGTATGTTCAGATGTGAAGCTAGAATGAAGAAGCAGCCTGCAGAAGAAGCGCAAATAGAGGTCAAGCTGCAGAAAAAGGAGTAAGCAGTCCTATGAGAGGACCAAAACATGCATGATGTATAAAAATAAACAATATTAAAAGAAAGCAACTCACTTTGGGGCATAGTTGCATACCAAGTAAACAGCTCGTCGCCAAACAGATCCCCAGACGTTCATATTGTGGCATGTGTGGACTGCGCAGCCTATACGATTGGAAGTGGCCCAAACCATCTGAATAAATATTTATTATTGGTGAAGTCCAAATTGAAAAATATATATATATATATACACATTTATTTGAGAGAGAGCTATAAATACATCACAGAAAAGTCCAGCTTTGGACTGTGCATTTTGAATAAGAGAATGTAATTTATATAACCTGTGTGTAATGGGTGCACATGGGTCCATAACATCGCATGGGGCACCTGGGGTTGCAGTCCTGAGGGTAAGGGAAAGCATAATCCTTCACCTCATCATACCACGGCTTTACCAGCTGGAGAATAGATCGATACCTGGATTTGTTTAAAATACAGAAAGAAAAACATATTTTAGATTTAGGTATTTTGGAACTTTCTGCTGCTAATCACTCTGATGCAAGTCACCTAAATACACATTTCTCCACGTATCACTAGGGGCACAGTATTAAGCCATAACACTCTTAAAACAAATGAACATAGATGGATATCAGTTGTTGCTAGAATACTGGATGACAAGTGCATCTGTCTAAGATCTGGACCTCAAAGGCTGTCCGAAGGCTGACAAAATAACTGTTTTACTGGGTGTCTGCCTACCTTCCAGTTCGTACAGACAGGTTTTGGCCCAAGAATCTTAGTAAGTAGGAAGGTCCATGGTCCCAAATGCACGTAGCAGCCCAAGCCTCTGCAGATTTGGCAAGAGTTTCATCCCAAACCTGACAAAATAAAATACCCTTAGCAGCAGCACATAAAAAAAAAAAAAATAGCGATCACCATGCGAGAACACAAGAAGCAAGTATCTTAAGTCAGAAATATACTATCATAACACATCTGTAGCTAGGCAGAGAGCTCTTGAATTCAGAAAACTGTGGAGCATCATGTACAGATCTAGCAGGATTTGCTCTATCGCTGGACAGAATTCCCACCCACATCATCAGCAGAAGCCAAGTATTCAGATCTCTCCCTTTTTTCTGGAAAAGCCCTTCACTGAACAGGCATTCTCCTACCATTTTCCCTTTTGTGTTGATGAGATCCATGTGTGGAGAGGACTGAAATGTTGGCTGGGACTCAGATAGAAGGTTAAAGCGAAGGAGAGGCACGCAGGGAAGAACAACTCAGCACAGGTATTACATACCCCAGAAAACCCCAAAGCGTTTGAAGTAGGATCTCAGGAGTATCTATAGCCAGAGAGTGTGTGTGGCAGCTTTTCACACTTGAGGCTACAAGGTCAAGCAAAGGGATTTCACAAAGGCAAAGACTACGGATAGTTTCCAGGTGCAGTATGAGTTTCACCACTTTATTCTGCATGGGAGCTGACATTGCTCCCTGCCTGGAATAAAAAGGTAACAGCTCTGTAAGAAGAGACAATTGACTTCTTAATTTCTCCAATGATAGGAATGTGACAAGTGAACTTAAACACTGTCTCCTTTATATGCTTTGCCTGCTCACTAACATGCTTGATTTGTAACTCTGCTGTTTTCTATACAGCAAATAAGCTTGCCTCAGCAATAACCGAGATATCAGCAATAGAACCCACTGCAGAGCTGCAGCTCCATATAAAGAAAATATCACTTTTATATTACAAGTACGCACAAAGCTTAGTGTATCTTAGTGTTTAAATGATACCCAAGTAGGCTGTAGATCTTGGAATTAGGTGTACAGTTTGAATACCTCGAGTGGAGTGTTTTGGTGCAGCACAGTTTTAGTGAACTGCAGGTAGAAAGCCAGGAACAGAATGTGGTAAAATTGCCTACCCAGCCCATTGCAGCTTTTTAAACACAAACCCAGACTCATGAATCTTGAGTGGCTACAAAATAAAGAGTATGCTCTCTGAGGTATGAAATAAGAGGCAAAGTCAGAAATAAACTTATCAAAGGACAAAGTGGCCCACACCACAAATATTTTCTGTACTACAAGCTAATAATGATTTCTAACACTGAATTCATAGTTTTAATTTTGCAAACCTGCAGAGTGAAAAGACTGACCACAGATCATGGACTAGGATAGTAATTCATGCCCTGACTCTGTCTGGTAGTTTGTGAAATTTCTCTAAGTGCAAAGGAAAAAGAGCAAATTTTACAAGTAGTAAATTCATAGTAAATTTTATGAAATCGCTACATCATTGAACCAAGCTTTTGCTAATATGGAGTGGGTGAGGTAACTCCTAGTTTAAAGCTGAAGAAGTGCAATGGAGATCAATATGAACCCTTAACTCAAATGCTCTTCCATTCAAGTGGAACCATCTTAGGGGAAGTAAGATGGATGGTGCTTAAAGCAGGGCAGATTTACTTTACATCTGTTTGTAAAAGGTCCCAGAACAGAGTCAAAGCAAATTGCCAGTAAAAGGACAAAACAGAGACATGTTAGGAAGAAGCATGCTAAGAAGGAATGGTCCCCAAGCCAGGGAACACTTTGATTTCAGCTCTGAAAAATGGAGTTTCTCAGAGGAGTCCGAGATAAGTCTGTAACTCAGGAAGAGAAGGCTAAGCTGGAGCACTGAGGTACAAGAAAGTGGACCTGGGGCTGCTATGGCACTGTTCAAAACCCAGGAAATGCTCCAGGGCCCAAAGGGAAGAAAACTCTACATGTAGAGACATTTCTTCTGCTTTGGGTCTCTGCCATTAAGTCAACTATCCTCATGTGGCCAGTGTACAAAAACCCCTTTATAATCCCTGTGGTGCATCAGTGGTCCCAAAGAGAGGGCTTAAAGAGGGGGCAACATGAAAGTGTGCCTGGGGAGTGTGCCTGAGAGGCCGGGGCCACAGGCAGTGTTTGGAGCCTGCCCAGGCGACCACAGGAGCATGTGGATCCAGCACATGGGTCCAAACACAGCTGCCTGGTGCACATCCATAAGGGGCAGCTCCACCAGGACTGTGACACCCCATAAACACCCTCCTTTGCTGGGATTAATCATGTTTCTGGCACGAGTCCTCCCTGACAGGAGGCTGAACATAAGGTTTGCATGCTTGCTCCCAAGTGACATGGCTGCAGTCCCACAATAATCTAAATGTGTACTGTATTTGCACAAATAGCACCGAGCTCCTGATTTCCACCCAGCATATTTTCATGTGCTAAACTGCCTCACAAAATAGAGTGTTAGGTGTTTGAAAGAAATGTGAAGACTGGATTAGGTTTTCACTACTAATGCCCTGTCTAAACTAGGCACAGCCCCCGCCTTCGACAGTGAGAGCATTGCTAGTCCGCTTCCAGTTCTTCCCAGCTTCATTTTCTGGTTCTCAGGAATCATCTGCAGCATTTGACAGGTAAAGTTTCAGAGGGTTGTTTCAAACTCAGTTAGAAAGTTGTGGGTTTGGCAGGTAAGTATTACTGTGATATATAGCACTCTCTGCTTTCCATTATCTATTCACTCTTGACCACTCTCTGGACATAGGACACTTTTGGCAAACATGAGAAAAAGAGAGAGGAAGAGAAAGAAAATAAACACTGAATAAGAAATAAGGGGGACGGAATCATATGCAGCATCTTTCATTTCCTCACTTCATTAGCAGGCTGGGGAAAAGCCTTTGTACAGAGTCTCCTCCTGCTATGTAAATCATTTCTGTTTCATGGGAGAAGATGAAGTGCTTCACTTTCCTTATTTTATTTTCCTCATTTCCTCTAGATGGTCTCATTTCTTCTAGGACTAGCTCTAGATCATCTCCATGAGAAAAGGCAAATAATTAATATAGGCTAAAGCAGAAAATTATTTTCTCATAATGACCTAAAATGTTCTAAACTGTAAGAGGCTGTGCCATTAGTTCACCCCTTTCAAAAGAAGTCTGATCCCAAGTCCACTCTGTATTAATCTGTATCTCAGTTCAGCCTCGTTTTGGGCATGTAAGAGAACAGGGCAAAAACATTTAGATTTTTGAACCCATGAGGCTTCATTTTTGTACATAGATAAAAAGCATATAAAGAAATAGGAAAATATCCTAAAAAGAGAAACTGAAGTAACTTGAAAGCCAGAGGGATAGTTTCTGTATGAGGAAAAATTAAAAAGCTTAAGGTAATTAGCAAAGAGTTTAAAAACCAGGGTGATAAACAAGATTATGACCTCTGAAATGATGGCAAATCCAGTGTTTCTACTGAACACGTTAAAGAAAGTTGCTTGACATGAACACAAAATTGCAAAAGGGAAAAAGGGGAAAGATTTGCATACTCAGTGGGTCAACATCTGAGGAGGTGACTCATCCTCAAATGCTAATCATGCAAACTCCGAGTGCCAAACTCTGCTCATTTTCTCCCTAGGGACAGCAAAACTTCATTTGCTAGGTCATTAGAAGTTGAAGAAGCAGTTACCTTCCTTCCACCCAGTATAAATATTGCCCCCAAACTCTCCAGATCACTGATTTGGTCCAGCATGGAAACCCTCCCCACTCCTCAACTGGGTCTACCTGATCTGTGATAGAGTTAAAGTGTCTCACCACACTTCCACTGGCAACTGGAAGTGAACATCCTTTGGCCAGTTTATTTTTCTTTCCTCAGCCAAAGGTTATTTCCCTAGAAATCTGTCTGACTGTGCTCTCTGCACTGCTCCCTGCAAAATTACACTTGAAAATTGTCAAGCGAACTGCATAGAAGGGAACAGGCTGGTGCTCCTGCATGGGGAGTTTCAACACCAGAGACCACTTTATGAGGCTTTATGAGGCAGCTCTGGGGTGCTCTCTGCACTCACACAGCACATGCCGGTTGAGAGTTA